GAGCTTCAAAAGCCTAGAGCTCCTCAAGCTACTAACTGAAATTGTTTGATGTTAAGTTGCTCGAGCTTCAAAAGCCTAGAGCTCCTCGAGCTACTAACTGAAATTGTTTAATATTAAGTCGCTTGAGCTTAAAAGCCTAATGTTCCTCGAGCTACTAACTGAAATTGTTTGATATTAGGCTGCTCGATCTCTAAAGCCTCGAATTGCTACTTTGCTAACATTTGAAATAAGGTCCTCGAGCTTTTAATCGATCATAAAATGCATTCGACGAACACCAAGAATCTATGGCGTCAAAATAACTGTGCAATATTAAGTAAGATCGAGCATATTACAAAACAAATATTCAGGCCCAGTTCGGGCAATGTACTTTGAATATTCATAAAACCAAAAACTAGTAGGGACGGGGAAAGGGGTCATCTCTACTCCTGATCATTGGCCGAGGGCATGTCAACAGCTTCGTCGTCCTCAGCAGCTCCATCCTCGATCACAGTCTCCTCAGAGGCTGACAGCTCAAGCGCATCGGTGACCTCGGGCACGCCCTGAAGTTGTTCGGGTTGGACATCAGGAAGATGAGCCCTCAAGTAAGCTCGAGCTTGTTTAAAAGCGTAATTATACGAGCCCAGGGCGTAGCCTCCTTTTATCGCCGAAAACTCATCAGACTTCTTGAAGTCCTCGACAGCTTCAACTCGAGCAGCGGCAACCTCGGCTTTAAACTCTTTCGTCTTTTGCTCGAGCTCGAGCTTTGCCTCTTCAGCCTCATCCTTTGCCACCCCAATCTCATCCATGGATTGACGCAAGTTGGCCTCGAGCTCAGCTATCCTAGCCAAATTCTTGCCACGCTCGACTTCGAGCTCTGCAACACGTCGGGTTCGGAGCTCAACGGCCTCTTTCAGCCCGACCATCTCGTTAGAGTTAGCCTCGCCCTTCAATGACATTCCTCGAGCAACGCTGAGTACCTGCACAAGGCGATCATACTTCAGTGACATCTAACATAGCCTTACTAGAAAAAGCATTAGAACCCGGGCTCACCTTAAGGGCCAAGGACTGCACCGCCCTTACACCAACCTCGAGGTCCACACCTCGATATCTTTCGACAACGTCGGGAAGGAGAGTGCAGACCTCCTCTCCCTCCGAGCCTCGAGCTTGAGGTTGCGCGGGCTCGTCCTCCAGATCGACGATGACAGCCGGGGACCTAGCCACAGTCACCGGTGTCGCCGAAGGCTCGGTCACGCTACCCCGAGGAGGCTGACTGGAAGTTTCCCCAGGCCCTTTTTGAATCACTGGGGCTTCACCTCGGGGCCTCTTCTTCCCCTTCCTTTGGCCTTGGCCTCGAATTTGGGGAGCCTTCGATTTTTGGCTCGCTGCCAGTCGAAGAGCCTGAGGATCGAATGTCATATCGTCTGCAAAAATAAAAACAAACAAGGCATTAGGACGAGGATAGGTCGGAACAATGATCGATTAAAGGTCGAGGCAGTTTGACCCTACCCTCCAAACCTTTTACATTTGCGAGATCGAGAATGTCATCCCCGAGCATATCATCGAGATCGAAACACAGGGGCTCGAGGTCTTCCAAACTCTGCCTATCTCTTTCTAAAATTTCAAAATAGGCCTGTCCCTCATTAAATCGAGGAGTGTCCGGGATAGTCCACCGAGGACCAAAAGGATGGTCGGGATCTTGAGGTTGAATAAAAAAATATCGTTGCTTCCACCCCTTGAGGGAGCTCGGCATTTTGGGAATCTTAAACCTACCCCGAGTGGACACATAAACGAAACAGTTATAGCCCGGCAGTGACTTAAGCTCGAACACCATCCTAAGGAGGTCGAGTCTAGGTTTGATAGCCAGGAACCTACAAGCTACGAAAAAATACATAATCATCCTCCATGCGTTCGGAACGAGCTGCCCCGGACACATGAAGTGCTCGACCAAGAATTCTACAAAAAATGGATGAAGAGGCCATCTGAACCCAGCTTTCAACGAATCCCTAAAAACCACCAACTCCCCATCCCGAGCACTGGTAATAGTATCCTCGGGCCCAGGAGTTCTAATGTCACAGGCCGGCATAAGCCCAAACTCTCTAGCTATGGCCACTATCTCGTGCTCCTTATACCGGCTCCTAAGATCGGGATAATTCAGAACGGGCCTACTATCTAAAGGGACAGCAAGGGGAATCATAGAATGCCCAACATCCTCGGGTGTTGAGCCCGACCCCGACGATCCACTATTACTAGACATTCAGGAAATAAAGACTTAAATTAACTACTACAAAGCACGAGGTCTTACCTTAGGTCTAAACCCGAAGTGGTCCGAGGAGAGTTAGAGAGTTCAAAAGTTCCAAATAAAGTGAAGAGGTGGGGTATTTATAGAACTCTGAGGAAGATCAAAGGTCTACCCATCTTGGCCATCCATCGTGCCACGTGGCGCCCATCCATCAGGGCAGGCTCAAATATCGAGACCACGCGTCATCAATACGCGAACCCTAGGCTGCACAGCCTTGTTCCAAGGGCTGAGCACCCAGCCAACATGGCTGCACATCCCTATTCGAAGGGCTGAGCAGTCACTTATCATGATTGCACAGCCCTATTCCA